ATATTTATCTTTAAAAGTGGTTGAAAATCAGTCATGATTTAGAAATGTTTTGCAGAAGAGATAAAGGGTCATTAGTTTTTTGTGATGAAAATAAAAAAGGAAATGAAAGAATCAATTCAAATACTTACATTAGAATCCTAAGTTCATATTTATATCCATTTTAGCATACAGTTCATGAGTTAACGGGAAGGGTTACAAATTTTTAACAGAATAATTCACCCATTCATACTGTGAAAATAACCAAAGATTGGTTGAAGAAGAAAAAAATTGTGATTATTAATTGGCCGGCAAATTCTCCCAATAGAAAATATATCCAGAGTTGTAAAGTTTTTCCAAGAACTGTGGGTGAACTTAAAATTGCACTAAGTAAAAAATAGGAAAATTTGGATTGCTCTATTTTTGAAGAGTTTGTTGCTTTAATACTACAAAGAATAAATGCAGTACTAGAAGCAAGAGGATGGCTAATATATTACTAATTATTTTAGTAATTATTTTTTATGTGAATTTTAATGAAAATCAATAAAGTTTTGCCATTTTTGGCATTAATTTTAAATCAGACGTCACTTTCAGATGCGACTGTACATATTCTATACAATAAATATGGTAAGTCTACTAGCTTGACTTCTAGACAATGTTTATTACATACTATATGATCCAGTATATTAATAGGCTTCAGTTTAAAATGTAGTGTACTCAGAATAGCTAGCAGTTTTTGTATAACTTTTAGTATATACAGTCAGACCTCTATATACTGATATTCTATATATCAATATACTATTAAAAACTTTATATACTGATAAAATTTTATTTACCTATTATACTTGAGGTCATATAAATATCGGTATAATTTGATATAACAATATTTTTAAAAAAAATTTCTATATGTCCCGACATATTATTATATAGAGGTTTGACTGTAAATTTTTCGTATGACTTTTTGTTGTAGCATTTATATAAAAAAATAATTCTAGAATGCTTTTCTGTATATTATAATTTTGAAATATAGTAGAATGAAATAAAATTATATCTTGAGATAATTTTTGCTATCTAATTTTTCGTATGACTTAACAAATTAATTCATATAAAAAATTTTTTTACACCTTAAAAATGAGACTTAGTGAGTCTATGAATATAACTATTAATTAATTTTAGAATTAATTCTAGAATATCATGAAATATGGTATGATTTTAGGCTTGCATAATCAGGCCATACTCAAATTATATTATTTTGTTTCTTGATTTTAGATGAGTCTTCAGAAGTCAAGTAGCATAACATAAAAGTTATTATTAATATTATATTTGTAAGATCAGCTCTAGCTTAAATTGTGTCACTTTATTCCTTGATTTCAATGAGTCCTTCAGAAGCAAACAGAATAGTATAATTTTTTTGATATATTATTTTAGGATTAAAATCAAATTGGAATGACTGTAACAAATAATATAATTCTTGGTATCTGAAGGACTAATTCCAAGCTAAATTTGATACTAACATCTTTGATCGCTAGATTTAAGCCAAATTGAATAAGAGGCTTAAATTCAATAATTAATTCATATAGCTAAAATTGCTTTATAGGTGATCTGAAAATTTTGACCCAGATGTTTCATTTTGACTCTATTACTAGAAATTATGATATTTAGATTATATTGATCTATATTGATTAACAAGAAAAATTAGATTTACATCAGAATCTGCAAGATGATCTACAAAAAAATAAAATTGATATTAAGATTGTCAAAATTTATTTAAATAAAATTTTACATCATTTTGATTAAATTATATATTATTTTAGTTAGATTTTTTGTATCTAATTAGTATATTTTATATGTTATTTGGTTAGATTTTTTACATGTAAACATTAAATTATATAGGTTTTGGTTAGATTTTTTTACATCTAATCAGTATATTATATATATTATTTTAATTAGAATTTACATGTAAACATTAAATTATATACGTTATTATAGTTAAATTATTTATGTCTAATCATATATTATTTTGGTCAAATTTGTTATGTGTAAACATTAAATTATACTTGTTAAATTTTTGAAATTAATTAATAAAAATTTTTATTAAAAAAAATAAAAATAAAAAATAAAAAGTAAATAATGTTTATTTTATATAATTAATTAATTATAATATTAAATAAGAGGTTTATAATTTAAAATTAAAAATTTAAATATAAATATAAAATATTTACTTGATTCTGAATCAATATAATAAATTTTTATATTTCTTATTTTCCTAAATTATTATTATATAGGGCCTTTACAATAGAAAGGGAGAAAACTACCGGAAAAATCAAAAATGAGTTAATACTAAATTTGAACATATTTCAGCCTAAAAATCATATTTAACATATAAAAATAAAATTGATTTTTCCTAGCAGTTTCCCCTCTTTCTATTACAAAGGCCTCATATTAGACTAGGCAAATTAAATTTTATGTTTTTTTATTTTTAAAATCACATGATTTGATATAGGAGGTCAGATTTATTTTTTATTATTTTATAATTTTATTAGTCTAAATTATTTTTATTTGTGCGATAAAATGGGATGTACAATATACTTATAAAGTTATTGGAATTTATGTAATCTTTCCATTTAATTATTAATAAAAATATGCAAATAATATGCAAAAAAATGTGATTAAATCATATTTCGCAGGTTTAGCAATTGTCTAAAAAATGAGTTTAATCAATATATTTATAAAAAGAAGTCTAAAACAAATATATAAATGGATGACCTATCCATTTAATATCATGGATAATGAATTTACAATTGAACAGTTTTATAATGATTTATCATTTGATGTTCATCTAATAAAAATTAGTAGTTAGAAATTAAAGCTTTTTTAGAAAAGCATATTAATAATATTTCTAATAGAGTGGTTTTAGATTATCCAATTGCTGATACTATAAAGAATTTTGGTAAATATATTAAACTCTGATTGTAAGATATATCAAGACAATCATCAGTTAGAAAAAATGCTTTTAATATTTTATTACAAGAATCAAATCAACATTATTTACCAAAAATGAAGGAAAATGTAATGAAAAAGAATACATGATTTTTGATTTTATTAATTATCTTCAAAAAAATAATGTAGGATAGGTTGAAAAAAATATAGCTAAAATCTTAAATGATAATTTGTTAAATATATAATAGAAGCAATATGGTATATTGATATGTATATGTTAAAAAACTTAAAGATCAAGAATATAGTATTCTTAAATAATTGGATAATTTTTTTGAACATGCTAATTTAGCAAAATACAAAAAAAAAGATATGATTTTGATAAGGATGTATTAAATAAGCATATCAGCAATTTGATATCCTATAAAAAAGTAAAATAGTTTAAAAAACCTTCATTTAATTAGTTTAAAGAAATATTTATTGAATTTTTAGATTCTTTAGTATCATATGTATTATATTTAGATAACCAAACAAGAATTATGAATAAAAATTATAGTTTGAATAAATCAGTTTATTTTATTATAGCTATTACAGATAGAACTACTATCATTTATAATGCTAATAAGTTTCATTCAAATAATATTATAAATAAATATGAAATATTAATTAATATTTTACAAGAATTAGAATATTGGATTCCATTAGATATAGTTCAAATAATCCTATATAAATAATTAATTTATTAAAATTGATTTTAATTTTCAATAAAAATTAATATACAATTGAAAATAATATGTTTATCTTAATAGTTTTAAAAAAGCATTTTCTTTTAAAGTTAGTCATTATTCTTTCAATTTTGCTAATAATACATTTAATGTCACTTGGATATGAAAGATTAATATACATGCAATAGAATCAGAAATAATGAATGAATCACAAAAGGTTATTTTCATTTTTGAAAATTTTTATTATGATATCTTTTCAGAAAACAAAAATATGCATTTATTAACTCTGCTAAACTATTCTTGATACAAATAAAGTAAAAAAATCAATTCTTCAAAATATTTGTAAAATATTTACACAAAATAGCACTGCAGCAAATTGTAAAAATGGGGCAGAAGATGATGCTCATATAATAAAAGCATTACAATTTGGTGATTCAAAAATTGTAATTGATTTATATATTAAATGTTGATCAGCCAGAAAAGTATAATATTTTCTGGGAATATAGTTAAAAATTTCTGAATAGTGCTGTAAAAAACTCAGTAGATTCTTTATTAATTGTTGATGAATGACGTTATGACACAATTATTCATCTAGCAAAAGAAAAGATTTACACAATCAAGTTACTGCAATTTGTTCAAAAATACATCAATACCTTATGAGCAATAGATCTATCATTAATTCTGGCTAAAAATTTCAGAAATATTATGAGTCTTCAATATAAAGATTATTTGCAAATAAAATTTATGATACAAATTTGTTAAATACAAATTAAATATGAAGATATTTATTATGCATATGCATTATTTAGATATTTTAAAGAACTAGCTATTATACTTTTAGGTTTTTGTTAATTAGTATTTCTTGATAATAAATACTATTATAAAGTTGGAGAGCCAGGATTTCCAATGACTGCAATAGATTGAGGTAAATCTGTTTTAGTTTTTCAAGAAAAAAGATTTATAGTATATGACTTTATCAAAACTGGTCTTATTTCTAGTATTACAATATTATGTGATATTCCATCTAATATGAAAGGTTCATTTTATTATGAACAAATTAACTTTGGCTTAAAGATTCAATTTTTAAACCAAGTCCTATGAATCATACTACAGAATTATATAATATACTTATAAATTCATAACAATAGCATTTTTATTTGTTAGTTTATACAGATAGTGATAGTGATCATCAGTTAAGATTTCTCTGAGTTCAACTTTCATAAATATATTTATTTATAGCATTAGATTTAGATTACTTTGTAGCAATAAGAACTCCTTTTGGATATTCTTAAAAAAATCCTATGAAAGAATTATATCTATTTTAATCTAGATTTACAATTAGTATAATTGATATGTCAAAAGATGAAACAGGAATTTAAAGATTTAATTGAAGGTTGCAATATTGTAGAAAAGATACAGTACATAAAGCTGTAATAAAAGAATAAGATTAAAAGAAAAGTTAAAATGAAGATTGTAATCTACTATTGAATTGGTTAATTCAATTTTTCAATATCAATCATTTAATGATAAGTTGTTTTAAAACATTAAAAGCTGCAACAGAATAAAAGATTGATAATTTGTGAGTATTAATTTTACAATTATTTCCTGGTTTAAATAAAGATACTACTAGACAATTTAAATATGTTAAAAATATGGTAAAATATTTAATTTATTGAATTTATTGACATATTAAAACAAAATAAGAATTTTATGGAATATTAATTTTATTACTATTTTATACAGACAAAATATAATGAATTTATGATTGCTGTTATTGAAAAAGTCACTACTACTTTGAAATTAAAAATATGGTAATAAGTTATGTAGCATTTGTCTGCTACTTTTTGATAATAAAAAATTGTTTAAGAAAATATTCAACTTTTCTGATCCAATGTTCAGTAAAGATAATCACTATACATATATATTATTTGAAGATATATATGGAAAGGAAACTGATAAAAAGCATCATCCATCACTTAAAAACAAATCTAATCACAATATTGCTGATTTTAATGATTCACAAATAAAACTAACACAATAATATGTCTGTAATATAAATTTAAGTATTTCATGTATTAAATGTAATAAGTCAAGAGTTTTATATTCTAAATATAAAATCAAACAGAAAACTTTTAAAAGTTGCATTTTTTTAGAGACTGTTGATTATAGCTATGGAATTACTTTTGCAGTACTTACAGATTTATCTATAGCTATAAATTCAGATACAAGCAATATGAAATAATAATAAAAGGAAACAGTTAGAGAATTATTTAAGGATATTTTTGTGAATGCAAAGTTAAGTTGTCAATATGAAATGGAAAGATCTTATTATTCTGCTAAATGTTTTATAGCAGTAAATTTTAATTGTAGTATTGCTAATGTTCAGATTCTAAGTAGCAATGATACCTACTCATATTATAGTAAATATGAGTTATATCTAGGATTTTAGTAAAAAAGAGAAAAAGATTTAAATTTGTTGGTGAAAAACATCAAAAGAAAAAACCAAAAAGGCTTAAGTATGAAAAGTTTGATTAATAAAAAAATCCAAGCAGTTGTATAATGAAATAGCTGTGAAATCTAATTATTTTTATAAATAAAAATGTGAATATAATTACATGATGAAAATAAAAAAATATTTGTGATCTCTGACTAAAGTCACATGACTGGTAATAAGAAACATCAAATTTAATTTGTTTGGCCTTATATTATATTATATATATTTTTTTATAATGTAATATTAAAATAAATATAAAAATTATTTTTTTAAAATATTTGTAATACCAGCTATAATAGCAGTAGCTTTAGTAACAGCTTTGGTAAAAGTAACTTTGGTAACAGATTTGGTAGTAACTTTGGTGAAGATAACTTCATTAATGATAATGAGTAGTATTAGTAATATTAGTGGTAACTTTAGCAATAGTATCTTTAATGTTAATAATATTATTAATAGTAATGGTAGTATTAGCAATATTGATAATGATAATATCATTTATTATAATAGTTATAAAATAAATAAAAAAATAAAAATAAATCCATATATTTTGTCTTTTATAATTTTTTAAAAAAACCAATAAAATAACTCAAATATTTATCATATTCTAAATAAAAAAGTATGGAATAAGAGGAAAAGAAAAAGAAATATTATTTAAAAATATATAATAAAAAAAAATAATAAAGATTAATTAATAAATTTATTTCATTTTTTTTCTTTTTTTATGAAAATTGATTATATAATTCATAAATTTTTTTTTTTTTATGTAAGTTGATTATTATTATTATTATTATTATAATTTTTTTTTCTTTATAATAATCATAGTTTTAATGATATTGTAAGTATTTTTAATACTTCCTTTTAATAACTAACTATCTATTTCAACTTGAATTATCAGATTTCTTTTTTTGAACTATTATTATTAATATAATAATTAATATTATTCTAACTACTTAATAACAAATTGCTTTATATATCTTTTCTATTACCTTTGATAGAAGAATTATGACTTGATATTTATGGTTGATTTGAAATCAACTTTCAAAAACATTATACAAAAACAAATTAAGACTTTAAAAAAAATAAAAATAAATATTATAGATAACATAATATTTATAATTTATTTGTTTTTTACCAAAATATTTTGATACGTTTTTTTTGTTTATTTAAAAAATTTCCAGAATCCTCTTAACAGAAATATATTATTTTATTAGTTTTTTAATAGAAATTGGTGGTATTTTTGTTAGATTTAATGTTGATGCTAGTATTAGTATTAATATTATATAGTGTTAGTATTATCATTGATATTAATATTGATATTACTTTTTGTAAAGTTTTAATCTCCTATAATTTTTTAATAATATTTAGGAAACAGTCAGTAAAAAAGAGAAAAATACAAATTTTGGTCAAAATTTATATTATTGAACCACTTGGTTGATCTCAGTCATATGCACAAAATTAGTCTAATAATAAAAATTAACAAAATTTTTGAATTTCCTTCTTTTCTACTGATCACCTTCTATTTATTAGAGTTTTGCAATTCAATTTGATATTTAAATATTTAATTTGAAAATCAAATCAAATACAAATACAAATTTATATTTAATTTGATTCGTTCAGCTTCAGAAATATCTTTTTTACTAATAAACTATAGTAAAAATATTTTTGAAGCTTCAGAAATACCTTTTTTTACTAAGAAACTATAGTAAAAAACACTTCTACAATTTTGAAAATGCTTTTTTTACTAAGAAAACAGTAAAATTACCTTCACAGATTTAGAGACATTATTTTATAAAAAAACATAATATAAAATGCTTTCACAATTTTAGAGACATTATTTTATTAAGAAACTATAGTAAAAAATGCTTATATAACTTCAGATACATTTTTATAAAAAAACCTAATAAAAAATACATTTGCGTTTCAGAAATGCTTTTTACTAATAAAATGATTCCAAAGCTATAATAGTAATTATTACTAAGTTTTCTTAACAAAACTGAAGTTATAATAGTAATTATTACTAAACTTTCTTAATAAAACTAAAGCTGCAAAGATTTTTACTAAGTTTACTTAGTAAAAATTTATCTGTTACTAAACATATTTTATAAAGTTATCTATTATTAATGATTCTATTAATTAAAATGAAGTAATTCTAAAGTTTTAATATATTATTATAAAAATCAAAAATTTTTATATTCGATTTGATTCAACAAATATTTGATTTAATTTGATTTAGATCAAATTCAAATCGATTCAATTTAATTCAATTAAATATTTGAGTTCAATTCAAATTGCTTCAATATTTGATTTAATTCAATTTTAAGAAACCCTAATATTTATTATCTGAAGCGTAGCAAATAATAATTAATATTACAAAAATTACTAATAATATTTGTTGTATAGAAGTAATAGTAATTAAAGGTGAATCTATTGAGATAAAAAATTTCAAAAATAAAATAAATTTCATGAAAAAAAATTAAAAAGAGTATGTATATATATAAAAAAAAAATAATAAACAAAAATTTCAACAAAATCTCATAATATTACTAAAAAAAAAATATGATGATCTATATCTATCCTATAAGAAATTTAAATAAGAAAATAATACATTTTTTATAAGATTTGCATATGTAATTAATAATTTAATATCACAATTTCGTATATTTTATAATAATTTAATTTTTTATAATTTTTAAAAAGTTCAATTGAAAAATTCTGAACTATATGATTTGAAATATCATTCAATTTATTATAAATTTCCTAAAATTATCAATTATTTTACATAAAGTCAAAGCTCATAATAGAGATTAGATTAATGATATTGCTGATTCTTTATCTAAACAAGATTGTTTTTTGCAGTACACCTAATCCTGGTAGGTTTCAATAACTGTAATCTCATTCTTCAATATAATAATATTCTAATAGAATCTTTGTTTAGAAACTTTTTCAAGAATCTTATTTTCACAAAACTTTTGATGACTTTTTATCACTCAACAAAAATAGGGATATTAGATTTCTTACTAGTTCCTTTTCAATCAATTAGTTCACTTATGGCATATTCTATCATTGGATTCATTTACTATGATAATTTTTTTTGCTTTAACATACTTAAAATCCTTTATTATTAAGAACTTCATAAATGAACTTTCTGTTCTCATTAGATTAAAGTGTTTACATTCTGACCTTTATAAAAATTGGAATTATATTAGCTATAATAAAGTCTCGTAATCATCAACTCATATTTGATCATATTCTGTCTATTCATAAAAAATAAACATTATTCTTAGTTCAAAAGATCATCTTATTGACTCATTTAGACAATTTCCAAATTGAAATATCTCACTGATTTCAGAACTCCTAAACCTTTTTGACTTTATCTTCTCTTATTCATTCTCTAGTAGTAACCATTTTTTTAATATTATAAATTTAAGAATTCCTTTCACACTGTTTGATTTTATTCACAAAATCATAAAAAATCATAACAATTATTTCTTAACCATAACTAAGCTTATCATTTTTTATATGAAATCACTTTATGATGAAATTAGGTTATATTGTTATCAATTATTGAGTAATAAAAAATGCTTTGTTGGTATTATTAAGAATGATAAATTTAAAAAAAAGATGCTAATAGATTTTAAGATATTCTTTAGATCAACACGAATCTAAGAATTGGAATTTATGGATATATTTGATAAATAAGTATAGTCACACATTTTCAGATTTTTAAGTAAGCATTAACTCTTTCTTTTTCCTTTTTTTATAATAGCAAAAGTAATTAGAAATCCATCTATTGGATGATATTTAATTTCAATTATATAACTATTTTTGTAAGCTTTATTTTATTTTTTGATATTTTTTCATTAATATTATATTGTTAAAATTATTTTTGATATTTTTTTCTTATTAAATAGTAACAATTTTAGTAATCATTTATTTTGTTTGTATTTTTATATAATTTCTAGATATTTTTTTAGTTTAGGCTACTTTTGATAAATTGGAAAGTTATTGTTTATTATTTTTTATTATTTTATTATTTTTATTATTTTTTTTTAAATTAGTTTTTACTTTAAGTAATTTTTTGTTTTTGATAAGTTGATTTTTTTCATTATATTTGGTTGATTAATTTTAATTCTTCTCGTTTTTATATAACTTCTCACAATCATCTAATCATTTTATACTATTTAAAATCCAAAATAATCTTAATAATCTTTTCTTACTTTTCTTTTTAACTATTTTCACTTTTTTTCTTATTTCCATAATTTTTACTTCTTTAACTAATTTTTCTTTTTTTTATCTATCTATTCTATTATTTTTACTTATC